GTGAGGCTATATAGTGGGGTCCTCTTGAACCGTCTTGGAGCGTCGGAAGCCCGAAAGGCGAGAATGGTCAAATCCTTCAACAACCTACGGGGAATCAATGATTTTGGCCTCGTGGGGCGCTCTTGGGCGGCCTCTTGGAGCCCTCTTCGGGCGTTTTTGGGGCCTCTTGGGCAGTCTTGAAGTCATCTTCTGCGTCTTGAAAAGCTCTTGAGCCATCTCTGAGCCCTCCTGGGCCTTCCAGGGAGCCTCCTGAGAACCCCCGTGGCCCGTCTCGGGCGTCTCGGGGCTCTGGCATCGGGGAGAAAGCCACGCGGGAAGCCCCAAGAGGTCTGCGAGGACACACGGCACACCCGGAGCGCTCAGAGCTCGCGGCTGCAGGGCGCTGAAAGAGCGTGTACAATACAGATGCCACGAGGGTTAAGAACACTCACAGCCTTGGAGATGTACTCTGACGCTCTTCGCCGTTGGGCTCTCCACCTTGGAATGCTCGTCGTTTGGGGTATCTGCATGGGGCCTCGGGGCCTCGGCGACGGGGCCCATGTTCTTGATCCGCGTTATTGTGACCTCGTCTCGGCTGTATCCAGTGCAGAGAATTCTGAGGGACCTGAGGGCACTCAAACTGGTGCCTCGAGGCACGCGGTGGACTACTCCTGCGTGGCAACCACTGGAGACCATTCGGGAATATCTCGAAGGTGGGGCAAGCGACGGTAGACCATTTGGGGACTTCTCGAAGACCACCTGGCGCGTCTAGGAGATAATCCCTGGCGATCTTAGAGCATCTCTCATTACTCAGGAAGGTATCTTGACGCCATACTGTCCCGTATTGGCGCCGTCGCGGGCCTTCGGCCGGCCAGACCGAGGACACATGGTCAAGGGCTAGCGGTTGCAACGTTGCAGGAGGGTGGAGGGCGCCAGGAGCAGCAGGAGCAGGAGGGCGAGCGAAGGTGTGGGGGGTGGTTTTGATAACCCCAGGAAGCATTTAAGAACCCCCCCCTTCCGGCAAATCGATAACCCTTCCGCACCCTGGAAGTGTTACCTGGCACCAGGAGCCCTCCTCCTCCTCATTCAAGTCGTTAGGAGTTATCAAATATGCTTACGAATATTAATACTATTATCATTGCATGAATTTTCCAAGCAGCAAGCGACATCCTGAGTCTTTCATGAGAGCCACGCAGATTTGAATTTCGAATTTCGATTGTAGCCCAGGGGCCAGGCCTCCGCGAATTTGTTGTGTGTCCGGGTGCTAGACCTATCGTGCGGTTATTTCGGCCCCTCGGAATATCGAATAAAAATGCGGTGCTAAGATATCGCCGGGGGGGTTCTTAAATGCTTCCTGGGGTTACTTGGCTGGTTCTCGATACCCTCCCTCCTGCGCTGCTCGCCCGCATCGAGGTTCCTCCTCCTCCTCCTCCTCCTCCTCCTCCTCCTCCTCCTCCTCCTCCTCCTCCTCCTCCTCCTCCTCGTTCCCCCCTCCGCGCGTGACGGGCAAAAAAAGGGCCCGCGGGAGCAGAACCCATGGGCCAGGGCAGCATGCTGACCAGCCTTTTGAGTTCTGACCCCACGTCTTGCTCCGGTCCCCGCTCGAGCGTTCCCCCCTTTCTTTACCTAACAGCGAAGACTGATAGGTTTCTACTAGGGTCAACAGAGAGCATCATGACTCCCCAGGGGGGTCCGGGCAGGATCCGGGGGGATGCCGGGGAATTCGCTTTAAGCAAACAGTAACGCACTTCGTGGTCTTCGAGTTCCCAGAACTCCATTCCTGGGCATGATTTTCAATGCCCGGAGCCAACTGTAGGCCACTTGGTGTTCTTCGTGTTCCCAGAACACCATTCCCGGGCAACATTTTGAATGCACGGAGCCAACTGTAGGCCACTTCGTGTTCTTCGTGTTCCCAGAACACCATTCCCGGGACACATGTTGAATGCCCGGAGCCAACTGTAGGCCACTTCGTGTTCTTCGTGTTCCCAGAACACCATTCCCAGGCTACATTTTGATTGCCCGGAGCCAACTGTGAGGCTGAGGCTGAGGCAGGCTGAGGCTGAGGCAGGCTGAGACTGAGGCTGAGGCAGGCTGAGGCTGAGGCTGAGGCCGAGGCAGGCTGAGGCTGAGAGGCTGACGCTGAGGCTGAGGCAGGCTGAGGCTGATGCTGAGGCCGAGGCAGGCTGAGGCTGAGGCCGAGGCTGAGGCTGAGGCTGAAGCTGAGCTGAGGCTGAGGCTGAGGCTGAGGCTGAGGCTGAGGCAAGCTGCTGAGGCAGGCTGAGGCTGAGGCTGATGCAGCTGAGGCTGAGGCAGGCTGAGGCTGAGGAGGCTGTGGCTGAGGCTGAGGCTGAGGCTGAGGCTGAGGCAGGCTGAGGCTGAGGCAGGCTGAGGCTGAGGCTGAGGCTGAGCTGAGGCTGAGGCTGAGGCTGAAGGCAGACTGAGGCTGAGGCTGAAGCAGGCTGAGGCTGAGGCTGAGGCAGGCTGAGGCTGAGGCTGAGGCTGAGGCTGAGGCTGAGGCAGGCTGAGGCCGAGGCTGAGGCTGATGCAGGCTGGCTGAGGCTGAGGCTGAGGCCGAGGCAGGCTGAGGCTGAGGCTGAGGCTGAGGCTGAGGCTGAGGCAGGCTGAGGAGGCTGAGGCAGGCTGAGGAGGCTGAGGCTGAGGCAGGCTGAAGGCAGACTGAGGCTGAGGCTGAAGCAGGCTGAGGCTGAGGCTGAGGCAGGCTGAGGCTGAGGCTGAGGCAGGCTGATGCTGAGGCAGGCTGAGGCTGAGGCTGAGGCTGATGCAGGCTGAGGCTGAGGCAGGCTGAGGCTGAGGCCGAGGCTGAAGGCAGACTGAGGCTGAGGCTGAAGCAGGCTGAGGCTGAGGCTGAGGCAGGCTGAGGCTGAGGCTGAGGCAGGCTGATGCTGAGGCAGGCTGAGGCTGAGGCTGAGGCTGATGCAGGCTGAGGCTGAGGCAGCTGAGGCTGAGGCCGAGGCCAGGCTGAGGCAGGCTGAGGCTGAGGCTGAAGCTGAGGCAGGCTGAGGCTGAGGCTGAGGCTGTGGCTGAGGCTGAGGCAAGCTTCGGCTGAGGCAGGCTGAGGCTGAGGCTGATGCAGGCTGAGGCTGAGGCAGGCTGAGGCTGAGGCTGAGGCAGGCTGAGGCTGAGGCTGAGGCAGGCTGAGGCTGAGGCAGGCTGAGGCTGAGGCTGAGGCAGGCTGAGCTGAGGTGAGGAGGCTGTGGCTGAGGCTGAGGCAAGTGGCTGAGGCTGAGGCTGAGGCAGGCTGAGGCTGAGGCTGATGCAGGCTGAGGCTGAGAGGCTGACGCTGAGGAGGCTGAGGCCGAGGCTGAGGCTGAGGCTGAGGCTGAGGCAGGCTGAGGCGAGGCTGAGGCTGAGGCAAGCCGAGGCAGGCTGAGGCTGAGGCTGAAGCTGAGGCAGGCTGAGGCTGAGGCTGTGGCTGAGGCTGAGGCAAGTTGCGGCTGAGGCAAGCCAAGGCAGGCTGAGGCTGAGGCTGAAGCTGAGGCAGGCTGAGGCAGAGGCTGAGGCTGAGGCTGTGGCTGAGGCTGAGGCTGAGGCTGAGGCAAGCCGAGGCAGGCTGAGGCTGAGGCTGAAGCCGAGGCGGGCTGAGGCTGAGGCTGTGGCAGGCTGAGGCTGAGGCAGGCTGAGGCTGAGGCTGAGGCTGAGGCTGAGGCAGGCTGAGGCTGAGGCCGAGGCAAGCCGAGGCAGGCTGAGGCTGCGACTGCGAGAACAGCAGAATTCTACAACTGGATCCTCACCTAAATCTTAAGAGGAAGGCTTCCAGATATGCTTCTACACATCGCTGTTAGGTTGCTTTGCCGGGATAATTTTCTACATCTGGGCCGGGCCGACGGCTGAGCAGCAAGACAATCATCATCATCACCATCATCATCATCATCATCATCATCATCAGCATCAGCATCATCATCATCATCATCAGCATCATCATCATCATCATCATCATCATCATCATCATCATCATAATCATCATCATCATCATCATCATCATCATCATCATGAATCATCATCATCATCATCAGCATCATCATCACCATCATCATCATCATCAGCATCATCATCACCATCATCATCATCATCAGCATCAGCAGCATCACCATCAACGCCACCATCATCACCAACATCAGCATCATCGTCATCATCATCAACAAGATCGCCATCGCCACCATCATACCAGAACATGGCATAGCGTAACGCAACACATCATCATCATCATCAGCAGCAGCATCATCATCATCAGCAGCAGCATCAGCAGCAGCAGCATCATCATCAGCATCAGCATCAGCATCAGCATCAGCATCAGCATCAGCTGCATCATCATCATCGTCATCATCATGCTCTTATGGTCATCAGAGGGAGGAGGAGGAGAAGGGAGGAGGGTGTGTGGAAGGAAGGTCCGCGCGGTCACAGTAATAACAAGAACCTTATCCTTTGGATATGGGGAGTAATGCTAATACTATAACTAGTAAGACAAATAAATAAGGCGAAGGAGCAGGAGGAGTGGGGGAGAGGAATATGGTTGGGGGGCGAGAGGAGGAGGGAGGACGGGAGAAGGGGGAGGGCGGAGCAGGGGATGGAGAGAGGGCGGGGTAAGGAGAGGGGTACGGGAGATGCGGGAGGGGAGGTGGGGGGCGTTAGTGGAAGGAAGAAGGCTGAGTAAGGCCGAGACATGGAGCAGAAGAAGGACAGGGGGGGGCACACGAGACGAGCAAGTTGGGCCAGTCATTTCCCCTTTCCTCTCTTCCCTCATTCCCTCTCCCCCTTCCTTCCCCTCTACCTCCCGCCCCGGCTGTGCCTTGTTTGTCACCCACCCCATGTCTATCGTGGTGCGCTGATTGGTCATGGAGTGACCAGGCGCTCCTCAGAAAACCGAGGTCATCGAGGAGGAGGACGGGGACGAGGACGAGGAGGAGGACCACGAGGGGCGCGGAGGAGGACGCGGACGAGGGCGAGGAGGTGGAGGCGGAGGCGGAGGACGACGACGGCGACGAACCGATTCCCCACCCGAGGCGACGCCCACCCCGCGCGCACGCGCCCGGGCGCGCGGCGGGGCCGACACCTCCGCGCAGAGGCTGGAGACCCCCCCGAAGCCGGCGGCCCCGGGCCGCAGAGGCCGCGCCGGCCAGCCAGCTCTCTCGGCAGGCAGTGCCTCGGTGGGGCCGTCGCGGCCGTCGGGTCGTCGGTCGTCGGTCGTGGCCGTCGTGGCCGTCGGTCGTGGTCGTCGTCGTGGTTGTCGGTCGTGGCCGTCTTGGCCGTCGTGGCCGTCGGTCGTGGTCGTGGCCGTCGGTCGTGGTGGTGGTGGTGGTGGTGGTGGTCGTCGTCGTCTTTGTCCTCGTCGTGGATGAGCAGGTCTTCCTGGGGAGACGGCGAGCAAGGAGGGCAGGAATGCGAGGCGGGGGGGAGTAGCAAAGAAGGAGACAGAGAAGTGGCAGCCCGAGAGGGGGAGGGAGAAAAGGAGGAGGAGGGAGGGAGGGAGAGAGGGAAGCAGGAGGAGGAGGAGGAGGAGGAGGAGGAGGAGGAGGAGGAGGAGGAGGGAGGAGGAGGAGCACAGCCTCCTTCCTTGCAGAAGCCGGAGCCTCCGACGCTGGCCGCCACTGACGGGGCGGAGGAGGAGGAAGAGCAGGAGGAGGAGGAGGAGGAGGCAGGAGGAGGAGGAGGAGGAGGAAGGGAGGAGGAGGAGCAGGAGGGGGTGGAGGAGGGGGTGGAGGAATGGGAGGAGGAGGAAGAGGAGGGGGAGGAGGAGGAAGAGGAGGAGCAAGAAGAGGAGGAGGAGGAGAAGAAGGAGGAGGAGGAGAAGGAGGAGGAACCACCGCAGCAGCACAAATCGGAGAAGTGCACGGTGGGAGCGATGGGGCCCTCGAGCTGCGGCCGAAAATCGCCGGCGCCAGCACCAGCCAGGCGAGCACCGTCCAGACCAGCTGGAAGAGACCGCGTGTCAAGCCTTCGACTGCACTGTACATGCCGAAGGACACGAGGGGCGGCCGTGACATAGTCCAGGTGCGCGGCCGAGCGCGGCTCCGTGCCTGCGCCCGAGGACGTCAAGATCGCCTGGCGTCTGCCCCACCAGCAGAGCAGCCAGAGCTGGCGCCGCCGACAGCAGCCTGTTTGCCGCCTCGTCGGCCACGCCAGCCACGCCCAGCGCCAGCGAGGGCTTGGTCAGCATGCAGTTGAGGCGGGCCACCCCGCCAGACAGCCTGAGGATCACCCTGGCAGCCGATGCGCGCGCCCAGCAACGGCGAGAGCGATGAAGGCCATGACGATCAGAACCTGGGCGCGCATCTTCCGCGCCCCCCCGCACCATCTTCTCGAGCACAACGAGCGGACCCTGCAACTTCAGGCCGGAGGGGACATACCTAGGAGGAGGGGGGAGGAAGAGGACGCATGGCTGATCCCAGGAAGTGAAGCTTTCATATGTCGGCAAACTTTCATATGCCGGCGTAGCTCCGGACTGCATGATCCTATTGCGTTTCCCGTGCCTCTCTCGGGTACGAATCGTTCCCTCCTTCCTCCTCCTCCTCCTCCCTCCTCCTCCCTCCTCCTCCTCCTCCTCCTCCTCCTCCTCCTCCTCCTCCTCCTCCTCCTCCTCCTCCTCCTGCTCGTCCTCTCTCTTCAGTTCTCCTTCTCAAAGGCCCCAAGCACGCCCCGCAGGCTCCCTGAAGCCCACTCCGGTTCCCTCCGCCGCCCCCTCCTCCCCCGCCTGCCCCCGCCCCCTCTCCCGCTGTACGTTCGTTGTCCGAGGTGCCTCCTGCGAGGGTGCCCCTCTTGGAGGAAGTAAGGGGGGAAAATGCGAAGAGGAGGGATGTCCCCTCCCTCTTCTTCGGATGCAACTCCTGGGAGGTTAAATTCTGACTTTGCCCTGGTCCGAAATCCGGCTTAATCCAGCCTAATCCAGATTAATCCCGCTTACCTTGGCACAATCCGGTTTAATGCCGCTGAATCCGCGGCCTGATTTGGCGTAGCAGCCCCCCCAATGGGGCTTAATTATCCCAAATCCTTCCGAAGAGGAGCTCCCAGTAGTTACTCAGTAGTTGCCTCCTAACTCCTTTCGCATCATCCACCTATCCACCTCCCCCCCCTCTTCTCCCCCTCCTCCTCCTTATCCTCCTTCTCCTCCTCTTCCTCCTCCTCCCCCTCCTCCTCCTCTTCCGTTCCTTCTCCTTATAAATAAGTTCTCCTGTTGCACCCCGAGACTAGTTTTTTGGGGCGGGCCGGGTGATTCGCCTGAGGCTTTTTCACCATGTGTGATTCGGAGGCTAAGAACTTTTCAACAGTTTCACAGATGCAGGGCGGGTGGTTTTCAAAATGTGGCTCTCGCCTTAGCGCGGCGCGCAATTGTTTTAAATATTTGCAAGAGTTTCACGGATGAAGGGCGCGTGGTTTTTAACATGTGGTTTTCGCGTTGGCGCGGCGCACATTCGTTTACAAAGTTTGCAAGAGTTTCACGGACTGAGGGCGGTTGGTGTTCAACATGTAGCTCTCGCTCTAGTGCGGCGCACAAGCGTTTTTCATGTTTGCAAGAGGTTCGCGGATTGAGGGCGGTTCCTTTCCAAAATGTGGTTCTTGCTTTAGCCCCGCGCACATTCGTTTTACAAAGTTTGCAAGAGTTTCACGGGTTCCCATCATCAACGTACCAGAAATGATGCTCTGGAAGGGTTCAGGATTATGCGGGTGCAACCGTTTTGTTGATTCTCAGCGTTGAAGTCCCATGATTCTCTGCGTTGACGCCCCATGAATTTGTGATAAACGAGTGCTCGCGCATACTATTTTTTTCGAAGGGCGAGGGCGGCGGACTCCAGCCTGACTGGGATGGTATGTTATGGTATAAATTCACAGGGATAACTCATAAGGATACATACGACATCGAAATTGCGATGCGGGAGGCCGGCTTGATAATTTCGGGGGGATCGGGTGTATAATCTGATTTCTTTAAGAAACGCGAGTCTATATGAAGCAAAATATGTTGCACAACCAATGTGGAGTAACCAATGTTGTGCAAGCTATGTGGTGCAACTTGTATTGTGCAATCTATGTGGGGCAATATATGTATTGCAAGGCGGCGGTGCGGCGACGGGGCGGCGACGGCGACACTATGGCAGACCGGCTCAGGCCCAGACGGTGGGCGGCGACGGGGCGACGAAACGGCGACGGTTACAATGTAGCCGCCAGACCGCCACCCAGGCCCAGGCGACGGGCGGCGACGAGGCGGCGACGGGGCGGCGACGGCGACAACGTAGCCGCGGCGACTGCGACAACATAGCCGCCAGACCGCCATCCAGGTTCAGTTCTTCATAGCAGAAGTTAGAACCTCTAAATGCAAGCGCTGTTCGGGGAATGTTTGGAGCATCCTGGTGAGTGTGTAGCCGAGGCTTGTGGGAGAGTCGTCGTCGAATCTTGGTGTCAGGGGTGGGTCTGTGCTGTATGCTGGTAGGATGACCCATTCAGAGAACATAATGGGTAGGTCTGTGCATCTGATATAGAGTATTGCTGATCGTTGCGGGTTGCTATCTGCGAAGAGGTATGACCGTATTCAAATGGATTGCGCCATCCCGCCGGCACCCCAAAAGGAGCGAGTGCGCGTGACGATTTTGGAAGTTACCTGGTGGGCCAGGAGTCAGGAGCCCATTGGATGCATTTGAGGGGCTCGTGGGATGCCTCTCAGGGGCCACCTTCAGAAAAGGGGATGGAGGAAGAGGGAAGGGGTAGAAGAGGAGGGGCACGATTATCGAATGTCCTTCGGCCCATCCCGCCACCGTGCCTGGGCTGTGGGTATGAAGCCTATCGGATGTTCGTTGGGCTCTCGTTTCGGAAACCCTCTTTCTGGGGGGCCGTTTTGGGGCCTCTTGGGGTCTCTTGTGGCCTCTTGGGGGCCTCTTGTGGCCTCTTGGGGGCCTCTTGGGGTCTCCTAGGCGTCTCTTGGGGCCTCCTGGGGGCCTCTTGGGGTGGAAGGCTCGGATGTTCTGTTCATGCTACCTCTCTTGGACCCCCTTTGGGGCCGGCTTGGGGGCCTCTTGGAGGCTTCTTGGGGCGTCTTGGGGGCCTATTGGGCCATCCGGGGGCCATCTTGGGGCCATCTTGGGCCCCTGTTTTGGGTCTCATGCACTGTTTTGGACCTCATGCGCCGTGTTGCGGTTGTGGAGAGGCTCTCGAGGCCCCAGGGATTCGTTGGGGAGCTTGGCAACGTCCCTGCGCCCCCCCCCCCTCCGAAAACGGCATGTTGGACCCCAGGGGAAGGGGAAGTGGGGAGGGGGTACGCCAAGCTAGGTGCGCTCGCGTCATATCTGACATCCTACCCCTCCTCCCCATCCCTTACCATGGCGCAGATCCCCTCTCTACTCGCACAGTCGGATGTCAAGCAGGGCAATGATCCCGAAAGGGTACGCGATGCATTGTAGAGCACGGCATGGCATGGCGTAGAAGAGCACCGCGAAGTGTCGTATGTCACAGCATGGCGTGGCGTGGCGTAGTGAAGAATTGCATCACAAAGCTTTGCAACGCAAAGCATGGCATCGCACAGCGGTCCCGAACATAACATTGCATAACATGGCGTTGAAGCTCAAAGCGTAACATGGCATAGCATGACGTGGCACTTACGCACGGGATGTGACAGCTGCAGCTGAAGGCATGGCATCGCGCAGCGGAACGCAACCTAGCATTGCATTGCATGCCGTGGCATGGCACGGGAAATGACGCCAGCGCTGCAGCGGGAGCACGATTCGGAACGAGCGGAAGCGCGGAAATGAGGCCAGCGCTGCAGCGGGAGCACGATTCGGAACGAGCGGAAGCACGGTAATGAGGCCAACGCTACAGCGGGAGCACGATTCGGAACGAGCGGAAGCCCGAAAACGAAGCCCGCGCCGCAGCGAGAGCATCCTTTTATTTTGAACAAAAGCCAAGCGAAAACCCAACTCCGGGAAATCCTGTGTGTAAAAAAGCAGTACGCGGAGGGGTGCCCGCTATCTTCCGCACGCCATCAGGGGATGGAGGAGAGGCGTATTCATATTGTGTAACATCACCCCCAGCAAGCAGGGGTCGGCGGATAATGGATTGGTCTGCGCTGCTGGTGAACAGTTCGACTGTTTTGTTGTCCAGGTGATAGTGCCCTCTGTTGGTGAGGCAGCGACTCTCCTCATCTTCCTCCTCCCGCCTCGCCGTTCCTCCCCCGCCCATTCGTCCCTTCTTATCCTCCTGTGTCTCTCCTCCTCCTCCTCCTCTTCTTCCTCCTCCTCCTCCTCCTCCTCCTCCTCCTCTCCGCCTCCTCTCCTCCTCCTCCTCTCCTCCTCCTCCTCCTCCTCCTCCAACGAGCCGACGCTTTTGTCAAGCTTGCTTCTGGGTTTTTGCCTCTGTTCAAAAACGAGGTCCGATGGAAGCGAGCCTCTTTCACCTCTGCTGGTCGAAGCCGCCAGCAGAAGACATGGCATCTCTGGAGGAGAACCGAGCTGGGCATCCAGTGTCGTTAGTATTAAACGTTGTGTGATCGACCCGACAGGCCCCCATGGTCGGTTGCAGGGGCCCGCCTCCTGTTCTCCAGAAGCTGCTGCGTAATCCCCCTTGGGCACCAGCTCGCTGCCGTGTCGGGCTCGGCTCCTGAAGCTCCTCGGTCTGACGTGGTCCTGGGGCCCTGCCGTGAGCAGCAGATTCTGTGCATCAATTGCGGGGGTTGGCCTCAGGGGAGGGCCCTTGAGCTCGCCGAGGTCTGTGGTAAGCCTGCGCGTAAGGGACTGGATGTCCTCAGTCGTTTCCGCAGAGGGCTCGGCCCCAATATGAAGGTAAACGCTGAGCTTGAGAAAGCGTTGCCAGTGTCTCAGCTAACAGTTGCGCGTGAAGCGGATGATAAGCCCGAATTGTGTGTTACCTCAGTCCCTCGAGCGTTTTCGGACTCTCCTTCGGCCCCCGCATTCGAGCGGCGTGTGGCGGCCCTTGCCGCCCGCATCAGAGCTGAAGAAGAGGCAAGAGCCTCAGGGGCGGTTTCACGCGGGTCGATCCCCTCAACGCTTTTGGTCAAGGGCAGAAAAAACGCCACTACCCTGGTTTACGAGGCGCTGTGCTCTGAAACTCCTGTGGGCTGATAGGGTAAACCCTGCGTGATGTGCCGCGTCCTGGCGGCTCTAGGCTTTGGGGGTTCCCAGGAGGTTTACAGACCACGCACTTGTGACCCAGGGTAGGGTCATTTTTTCATCCCTCAGTTTGGTGTGGTCACCTCCCGACCTTTCCAGGCGCTGCCCATCCACACGTCCTCCGTCTACCCTTCTCTCTGCCTCGCCTTCGCCCGCCCGCCGCCCACTCCCGGCGGCAGGCCTCGTCGTGGGCGCCAGGGTGCAGCTCGCGGGGCTGGAGCAGGCGCCGCGACCCGCGGGCCACAGGGGGGGAGGAGGAGGAGGAGGAGGAGGAGGAGGAGGAGGAGGAGGAGGAGGAGGAGGAGGAGGAGGAGGAGGAGGATGGGTGGGCGCAGCTTCAAAGGAAGCCCTGACCGCCGTGAGAACTCACGACGGCCAGGGCCACCAGAAGTCAGGAGGCGAGGCGGTTGACCTATACGCCGCCAGGTGCGCGCGGGCGCGGCCGCACTGGCGGCGGCAGAGCCGCGTCCGCCTGCTCCGGCTTCCCAGCGAAGGCCGCGCCGAGGAAGTCCCTGTGGGGCCGTACCCTGAGGCCGACACCCCCGCCCAGCCTCCCCCCGCGGAGGACTGGGCCCGTGGCCGTACCCAGAGGCCGTCACCACACGGAGCCGTACCCAGAGGCCGACACTCCTGCGCAGAACCACTCCCCCCGCAGGGGCGGCATACGCCTCGAAGTGGAAACTGCGCTGGGGCCGTACCCTGAGGCCGACACCCCCAGTGCAGCCTCAGGGAGAGGACTGCACCGCGCTGGCGCGGAAGAGGTACTCGCCGTCCACGTAGAAGACCTCCGCGAAACGGTCCGAGGCCATGTAGTCGGCCACGAGCTCGAGGTCGACCCCGAGGCGTTCGTGCTTGCGGACCACGTCGCCCACGTGCACCCCGTCCCCGCCGCCAGAGGCCGAGAACGTCTCGGTGAGGAAGTCCTCGACGTCGAAATCCGACACGGTGTCGGCCTCAACAGCAGGCTCCCCGCCTCGAACGACGCTCACGTCGAGGGGCTCCGCGACCTCCTCCACGGTGGGGGCCACGGACTTACCACACCCCTCAGGCCCGCGGGAGCCGGCCTCCTCCGGTGCGGTCTCCTCCGGGCCGAGGCTCGCAGCCTTCACCTCCTTCACGGGGGAGAGGTCCCGGGGCCGCGGCGGGGCCCTTGGCCACGGCGTGCACGGCGCGGGTTCACCTACCGCGGCAGCGTCGTCGCCCACGGCACAGCTCGCCGACGAGTACCCGTGGTCATCCGTCGGCACCGCGTCCGCGGCCATCTGGTCGGGCGAGGCAAACGGCCCGCGGCGCATCGCCCCACCGCGTGACCAGCAGTGGGCAGGGCCCATCGAACAGGGCGCGAAGACCACGGCACCGCACGAGCAGCGGCTGCCTCGCACCTCGTCCTCCATCCCCTCCTCCGACGCATGCATCGGCACCTCCGCGGCAGGCACGAAAGGCGGGGCCGCCACCCGCAGCACCGTGTGCGGGGCCTCCGCGCCAAGCGCGAAGGGAGGGGCTGCCACCCGCAGCCCTGTAGGCCGATCCTCCGCGGCCGCGGGGTGGCCAGGGGCGGGGGCGTCGGGGAGGACGTCGACGGGGGCGAGGATCTCTGCCGCGTTCCCCATGGCATCCTCGTCGAAGGGCGCGGCCGCTCCCAAGCGGGGCCCCGCGACAGCCCACTGGAGCTCCTCGTCCGTGGCCTGCGAGAAGCCGAGGGGCGGGACGCGTGCCGCGTGCCACGCGGCGTTGCGGCGGCGCCGCGAACGCCCTGGCACAGGCGCGCCGAGGGCCGCCAGCTGCAGTGCTGGGCGCGCGGCCCGCTCGCGGTCACGCCACGAACCTGGCGGCGCAGCACCCAGGTCGGCCCGGGCACGCCGTAAGCCAGCCTCGCAGGCCAGCTGCGCCCGGCGGCGGGCCGCCCGCCGAGCCGTCGTCGCGCCGAGCTGCACATTCTCCAGCGCGCGAACGGGCCGCCACCAGGCAGGGCGGCCCCCCGAAGCCATCATGCGATCCGAGCCGAGAGCCCCGCTCCCTCCTCCCTCACGCCCGCCGCGTTGCCCCGACAGGACGACGGGTTGGGGTCGCAGGGAACGCCGAGGAAGAGTCCAGGAGCGGGGGGCCTACGGAAAGGCATGAGCCAAAATGGCTACGGAGAAGGAGGAGGAGGAGGAGGAGGAGGAGGAGGAGGAGGAGGAGGAGGGAGGAGGAGGGGAGGAGGAGGAGGAGGAGGGAGGAGGAGGAGGAGGAGGAGGAGGAGGAGGAGGAGGAGGCGGGGGCGAGTTTCCTCAAGGGGGCGGGGCGGGGGCGCGGGGGGGAGCTACGATATCTGCATCTCTTCACCTGCGACCCTCTGCCGGAGAGCTGCGCCAACAGGACCAGCAGGTCAAAATGTGTCACGCTTCGCGCACCCCCACCAGCTCATTTAGAACCCCTGCCCCTGACAGCATGTTCCAAGCATTTTCATCGCGACTGTTTTCCCTCAGGGGTCCACGGCAGGAGCCACGAGAGTCCTTGCCGTCCAGCCCACGCGTCCCTCAGGATGCATGGCGTTCTTGCGTGCTTGCTTGCCCCCGAAAGCTGACAGGAAAAAGGGACCAAGAGACACAGGTAGTGAAACAGGGCGGGCAACCAGGGTGAACAGAGAGATCTCTGGTAGCAAGGGGGTTGCCGTGGAGGGCCTCTTCGGGCCCGGGTGGGGGCGAGGGAAGTGGAAGAGGAGGAGGAGGAGGAGGAAGAAGAAAAAGAAGAAGATAAGGAAGAGGAGGCGGAAGACGATAACGACGACGACCACGAGGAGGATGAGGAGGAGGAGGAGAAGGAGGACACTGAAACGGAAGACACTTAGTGCAAAGACGAGGACGACGGCGAGGAGGAGGACAACGCGGACGAGGACTGAGCCCTCAACATCGCCTCTTGGAGCGGTCTTGGGACTCTTTTGGGGGAGGTTGGGGTCCTCTTGGAGGCTGTTTTTTGGGGGGGCTTGGCGTCCTTGTGAAGCTCTCTTAGGGGGCCCACTGGGAGCCCTGGAGAGCCTTTCAGGGTCATCTTGGAGGCCATCGGTCAACAAGGAGGGGCGGGCCCCCCCCCGTAAAAGCGCGCGAACGCCCCATAGGTCCGTTCCCGTTCCCGTTCCCGGTCGCGTTCCCGTCTATTCCCCCTAGGCCGTCTAGACGACCCAAGAAGCGGGGACGACAACGGGAACGGCAGCCTCCCACGGCCTCCCAGACGACCCCCCCGGAGGCCTTCCAGACGGCTTAGGACGGCCTCCCTGACGACCCAAGAGGCCTCCCAGGGCCTCCTCATCCTCCTCCTCCTCCTACTACTACTGCTGCTACTACTACTACTACTACTACTACGACTACTACGACTACTGCGACTACTACTACTGCTGCTGCTGCTACTACTACTATTACTACTACTACTACTACTACTACTACTACTACTACTACTACTACTACTACTACTACTACTACTACTACTACTACTACCACTACTACCACTACGACCACTACTCCTACTACTTTCACCACTTCTACTACTACTACTACTACTACTACTACTACTACTACTACTACTACTACTACTACTACTACTACTACTACTACTACTACCACCACCACCACCACCACCACCACACCACCACCACACCACACACCCCTAGTATTTACCATACTAGTCCACTACTACTACGACTACTACTACTACTACTACTACTACTACTACTACTAC